AATGCGCGTGCTCTTTGTGAGCTCGTTCCCGGCTCGTAACCAGCGCGTTCTGCCGTCAAGGGCGATCATTGGTTAAATGTGATCATGTGACTGATGCAAGCCAGATCCTTTTATTTAGCAAAACTGTGACTAATAGTTAAATATTATTGTTGAGGGGCACAGACAGGACTCCGCACGCACACATTAAAAAAATAATAATAACTTTTTTTAAAAAGTTGCCTCAACAAAAGGGCACTTTGGGCACTCATCAGGAAAGGGGCGGGTGTTCAAGCCCCTCTAGCCCTCCCCCTCTGCACGTGCCTGTGTCTCAGGCTGTAAACACGTTTGGTCTGTGGGGACTGACTCACTGCTGCTTCTGCTGGACGCCAGGAGAACTGCAGCTGCTAAAGCGTGTCATTATTTTTAGCCTGTAGGAGGACATCCATTTAAAAGACCGGAGTTTTGTCCCTCCTGCTCTTCTTCTTCCACTTTGTCTCCCCATCAATCCATGTGGCCTCGCTCGTCCTCCACCTTCGCCCTCCTCTCGCTGTGCTGCAGACGTTGTAATGGACCGTCTCAGCGGATCGATGCCGGGGGGAGGGAGGGGGCGACCGCAGACAGAGAAGCTTTTCAGAGAAGATTTGACTTCAGGCCAAGGACGGTCAGCAGGAGACAAAGAGACCAGAGGAGGTGAAGGACACAGAAAAGTCTCCTCATGAAGTTTTCTCTTTGTCATCCGTTTTTAGTCTTTTAAAGACAAACTATCAGCAAACTAAATGAAGCCTGCAGACATCTTTGTTCCTTCACAGGTCTGCAGCACAACCATCAAATGTGGTGCGTGAATAACATCGAAGAAAGAAACTAAGAATAAATTAGACGCATGAAGAGAGCGACGTGTGGTTCCTGACATGTTTATCGAGCTGATCCCACCGTCAGCTCGGTGCTGAGCTCCACAGAACAGCGTGCTGACCAAACTCTGGACACCTATGAGGTTGTCTGTAATGTTCCCATGCCGTCCAATCAGAACTCTCACTCACAGAGCCACGCCATTCTGAGGGTTCAGGCTCCTGAGTAACACGCAGAGGTCCTGCTGATGGCCCGGCTGGACGAACATGCTCCAGTCCTGACATGAAAAACATGCCTGAACACTGCTGTTGTCACTGATGATGTCACGGATGATGTCACGGATGATGTCACAGGCTGTAGGCGCTGCAATCGGGGTGGATGAAGAGTTCTGATCCTTTAAGTGACCAGCAGAGGGTGCCACAGGCCAACTTCAGACTGCATTAACACAACAGGCATGAAAATCAACTGGTGTCAACTATTTATTTAACATTTTCAAGACCCAGATGTGCTCACCTGTCTTTGTTTATGAGCAGCAACAGCAGAAACTCACAGGACGGAGAGAGGAGGAAGAGGAGTAGTTCTGTCGCCGGGTGTTCAGGTTAATCAGACTCCCCTTTGGCTTTAATGTCTCATTGTGTGTGTGTGTGTGTGTTGCTGACTCAGTAATCATTGACAGAGTCTGTGGGGAGGAAGTGGAGCTGGTATCTCCGGGCAGCTGAGGGGGCAGACTGATGGTATCTCTCTGCTTGTCCGGTGAAAAGTGAAGTTGAGCTTCACTGCACGTACTTTACTTCATTTAGGGCTGAATAACTTGACTCTACTGTAAACTGAGAACAGCCGTGCGTCCCCACAGGACCGAGCACTCGTGTCTGTAAAATATCGCCTACACGTGAAGAAGAAACCAGGAGATGTGTTGAAGGTGTTTTCAGAGTATTTCACCTTTCTGAAGTTTTATCAGTGTAAATCTTTGATATATGTTCAATAAAGGAAACTCAGCATTGCACCAGCAGACACCACCTGCATCAGCTGTCGTGTTTCACGGCTAACCACCGTCGCTGTCAGCAGCTCTCAGTCTGTCATGTTCTCTTCAGAACAAACATCTGTGCTGATCCTCAGACGTTCGGCTTCATTTTACATCCGGGTCTGTGCGCACTTCCAGACCGCTTCTTCTGGATTTACTCAGTTCTGATTGGTTCTGAGACTGTAACATCTGCTTGATCTTCTTTAAGCGTAAGGACGGAGCTGCTGCTGGCTTTGTTCATCTGCTACCCAAGCTATTGCTGCCTGTGCACACTGCTGTAAGATGATACCCAGCGACTGAAGCGAGACTGAGGCAGACGGATGAGCTCATCGTGTTTTCGTCGCTAACCGCGTGGCTCTTCTAGGATTCCTCCTGCTGTGGTAACATCAGCAGCTGCAGCAGCTGCAGGTTCTAGTGCTCGATCCATACACGTTCTCCAAGGACGTCAGCACATCGCAGGTAATACCAATCATCTGCTAAAAGCCTCGGTGTCACCTTCACCTCAGAAACGCAACAATCAAAGTTTTACTGTCACTCAGTGGAACGTCTACTTCACACTTTAATCGTCTCCCACTGTGATTATTGTAACTCTCTCGGTCCTCCACAGCTGCCACCTCATCGTGCAGCTCTGAGATTTTACTGACGAACAGCTAAAAACTGGTTTCACTGCAGGTCTTCTGAACGAGGTGCGCATTTGATTCTGCTGGTTCCACTCTGACCACCATCAGGCAGAATCAAACAGAAACCCACAGGATCTACGGCCCGAACCACCAGGAGATGGAAAGCGGCATTATCTCAGTCTATGAGTACGTCCACACACTGACTGAGTGAATGCTTCAGGATCACCTCCTGTGCTGGTTTACAGGGTCGTGGGTGTCTGTGACGCTCTGGGAGTGACGGCGCTCTGCTGATGATTCTCTATCGTGGCTCCAAAGCTTTGGAATAATCTTCCTCTTCACATTAGGTAATCGACATCAGGGCCTGTTTGTAAATCCAGATTAAAAACACATTTTTATTTGCTGGCCTTTGATTCAGTGGTTAACTGACTTGTATTTACTTATATTTTATTGTTATTACCATGTTTATTATTTGTTCGTATTTATTATTCTCGTTGTATCTCTTATATTTCTGTTGTTCAGCACTTTGTGTGTTTTTAAAGTGCTATATAAATAAACTATGATGATGATAACAGAGTCACAGACATTAGCATCAAAGACACAACGCTAACAGGAGCCCCGCCCCCAAGGAGTCAGTCAGCTGAAGCAGGAAACAGAGCAGCCAATCATGTTCTCCACAGCAGAGGTCAGGGCAGCTGTCCATTCTCACCTTCAGGATCAGCTGTTTACGGAGCCCCACGGGGGACATGGGAGGAAAAAAAATTAAGACGGACTTTTGCGAGATTTTGCAAAACTAACTCGGGATCTCGCAAAAGTTTTAGCCGCCAGATCGGAGCCGACCGGGAGGTCGAGGCACGATGTGCCGGGAAAGCGGTGTTCCTCCCGGCTGTAGTAGGTCTCGACCTCCCGTTAGCTTCGAGATGGCGGGTGTCAGATCTCCGAAAACGTCGGAGCACTTTTGCAAATATGTGATGTCTTGTAAAACGAGCAGGTATCTGACGTTTACACAACTACAATCACGCCTCAAAATATCTTAAAAGTGTATTTTTCGACCCAGAAAGAGTAATATTACGACTAAGTAGCTGCCGCCATTGTTGGAATTCAACTTTTGCGAGATCTCGCTAAAGTCCGTCTTAGTTTTTTTTTCTCCCATGTCCCCTGCGGGGCTCCGTAGCTGTTAACCGAACCCCACTGACTGTAGAGGAAGATTCTCACCGCTGCCTCTGCTGGACGTCAGAGGAACTGCAGGGTTTGACTGCAGACAAACTGGATGTGTTGTTCTTACCTCGAGGTCGGTTTGTGAGGTTTGAACACGCAGCACAGCGTCGCTCCTTCCTGCTTTCAGGACACACTTCACTTCATGATCTTCTCATTACACTTTGATATTTCCTCTTTCCTGAATGTGCTTCTGTGGCAGCGCAGTAATAAGCCCGTCTCATCTCTTCTCTCCAGAGGAGATGCAAATTGTGGTTTTTCGTGAGATAATGCCTCATTAAATGTATCAGTGCGGCGTTGATTGATTTGTATTACCAGGAGGAGACCCCACAGTGACAGAAACATGAGGCAGAGCTGGATTATCTGCAGCATGTCCACATTTTAACTCACAGATCTCACATGGATTTTAACAGCAGTTCTGACAGCAAATCTGCTTCAAAGAGACAAAAGAGAGAAACAGACAAAGGTTCTAATGATGCTTTCATTTTACTTCTGCAAAGGCAGACAGTGGAACAAGAAAAGATCACAAAATGATCCATCAGCAAGCTGTGTCCAGCTGTGTCCTGCAGCTTTTAGATGTCACCCTGGGTCAACACACCTGAATCACATGATGAGTTCATTCCCAGGCCTCTGGAGAACTTCGAGATATGTTGAGGAGGTCATTCAGCCATGTATATAATGTGTTGTATTTGTATAACCACGCATGTGACAAATAAAGGATCTTGAGGAGGAGGAGTCACAGGGATATTACCCAGCATGCCATGGGACACATCTCAGGTGACTTTATGTTGGACTGCACTTCTTCCCTCTTGCTCATTGTGATATTAAATGTTTGGTTAGGAAAACATCATTTGCGGTAAAATCCATCCCTTCACAACCTTCAGCCCGACACATCGGCTCTAAAGCCGAGCCTGGAAACTCAGAACGCCAACGATGATCAGCGTGTGACGGATAAAGTACGAGGCGTCATCGAAGAGCATGAGGCACGGCGGGGCGCCATGGTCCACACGGCCTTAAGCAGTGTGAAACAGAGTCACACTGGGAACACGCCCAGGTGTGCATCGGGACTCTACGAGGACCTCCAGCATCAGACACCACCCGTCCCGCACACGCACACCTGTGTGTTGTTGCTCCCCTGTGTGATTTAGGTCATGTGACTCACCTGTTGCGGTCCTTCAGCGCTGCCGTGTGTCGCGCGGTCATGTTGTGTTTTTGTCTGTATCTCTGCGCAGCTGCAGTCAGCGATAACCTGCAGCCACAGTGTGGAGCAGACGCCGACCAGACGTCAGAGGAGCGCTCGCTGCAGCTTCATACCCTGTTTCACTTTTATCCGCTTCGCCATCACGCGTCCCAAATCTACGGCAGGTCTGGTAAACTCGCAGTTTCATCGATCTGTGCAGTCACAGGATTTCCTCTGAGGGCCCCTGGCGACATCAAACCCTCGTGGCCAGCTCTGCGTTCTCACAGCAGCTACTGATCCTTACCTGGACTCAGGCTGCAGCTCCATAGACCTCTGAGGAACGTTCAGTTCACACAGGAGGCACAGCCGCCCCTCGTTTCTTAATGATGATTGGTCCAGTTATTTAATGAAAATGTGCAAACACACACGGAGACAAAGAGTTTATACGCAGCTGATGAGCTCCGGTGTGAGCGCCTGTATTCCTCAGCACAGTCTGAACTCTGAGCAGCTGCCTGTGATCTCTGTAAGGATCTTCAGGAAACGTTCACGTGCTGTGTGTGTGTGTGTGTGTGTGTGTGTGTGTGTGTGTGTGTGTGTGTGTGTGTGTGTGTGTGTTTGTTTGCTTTCTCATTCTCTGCTAATATCCAAGACCTACTTCACTGCACACACACACCCACACACACTCACACACAAACTCACACACACACGCGCGCGCGCGCACACCTGGATTAAATGTGTGTTAGAGAGTTTGTGTGATTCATTTTCAGCTCTGAATTCTGATCTGTTCACCAAGGACACACACAAACACAGACACACACACACACTCACTCACACTCACACACTCTCTCACTCACTCACACACACACACTCACACACTCACACACACACTCACTCACACACACACACACACACAGCGATTGATGACATTCATTCAGAACAAAGGGTATTTCTCCTCCTCAGTGAAGTGCAACACTGCCACCTGCTGTCAGCTGGATGAAGTGCAGATAGAGCCACTGACTGATATTCAGCGCACAGTAAATGTGACGATTCCACTCACATCAAATGTTTACAGGTTTATGAATCGCTTAAAGCTGGCTGAAGCCTGGCAGCGCTGACAAACACATGAGACTGCATGAATGATCCAAGTATAACCAATGAACAGACCCACAATCAGTAGCTACAGCTGAATGTGCATCGTATCTTAATGACCTTGTAGTACCATATCACCCTATTAGAGCACTTCGCTCTCGCTCTGCAGGCCTACTTGTTGTTCCTAGAGTATTTAAAAGTAGAATGGGAGGCAGAGCCTTCAGTTTTCAGGCCCCTCTTCTGTGGAACCAGCTTCCAGTTTGGATTCAGGAGACAGAGACCATCTCCCTCCCTGGTTTTGGTTCCAGCCTGGTTCTGCTGGAGGTTTTGTTTTCTGTTACAAAGGAGGGTTTTTGGCAAAAGTGGGGAAAACAAACACTCACTTTGTCGGGGTGTTTTGTTTTTTCTCTGTATTATTGTGCGACCAATGTGGTGTTGCCATGAGGCACCACATATAACCATATAAATGCAAATGTATTGAATCGTACTATTACAGGAACCTTGAAACATATTTCCATTATTGTTGTCATAAAGTGGATGAGCACCAGAACATTCAGGCTAAGCTGTAACTGAAATATTACACGTATGAAAATGTGTAAGCGGGGAATTTAGAGATGGGACCTTCGTTTAAACCTCAGACGGCTGCCGTTTGATGTAGTTGCAGTTTATGAAAAAGCTTTTTGCCGTTTATCTACGAGTCAGACAGAAAAATTAATCTGGGACTGAGGAGGACCGTTACAGGAGGAAGTACTGCAGCACTGAAGGAGAGACAACTGGACCTGCTGCTGACAGAAAAACACTGGATGCAAAAGTAAGACGAGAACACCTGACGTCCTGTTTGAAGGAGCCAGCTGCTGCTTCCAGCTTCACTCGCAGACTTCCAGACCGGAGGACGTGTGCTGGCCGCTCTGTCGGGACGTCTCAGAGATCCCTTTACAGCATGCTGGGACATTTCTGCACGTGGTGGCCTCAAAGCCATTATTGTCCTGGTCTCCGTGTCTCTCTGGCTGATCAAATTTTCAGGCCACATGTCTGTTTATTGTCCTCCTCTCTCTGCCTGGGCGGAGCTCATCTTTGGCGCCCGCCCTTGGCCCACACACCTGGTGTAATCAGGTGCCACGGATCTGCCTGATTGCCTGAGCCTCTATTTAAGATGGCGGCTCAGCACTCTTCTTTGCTGGATCGTTGAGCAACTCCCACTTCCTGGACCTGTTCGGTTCCCTGAATCTTGTGGTGTGGCGTGGCGTGGCGTAGCGTGGCGTTGAGTGAAACGTGAGCGTGAGTGCCTGAAGAGGAGTAAGGAGCGAAGCGCGGAGAGAGAGTGGAGTGTGTTTCCTGGACCTGTTTCCCGTCGATTCTATTCTGGATCCTTATTACTCCTTTCCATATGTTATTATGTCATAAGCTATGATGTAATTGTGACAGGGCCGATACGTGGGGTGAACCCAGAAGACGACTCCATTGAGTTTCTCACAAGAATGTGAAGTTTTATTTGTCACATGTCACTGGTGTCAATAATTAATTACATAAAACTGGAAATACATTATTTATATATGTTTTAAATTAAATTAATGGGCACTGTAATTAACATTAATTATTTAATGATATACTTGACTCAGTCGTTTCGGCACTCCTGGCCCTCCACAGTAAATGAACCTTTCAGCGTTTCGAGTCCGATTTAAAGAGCCGTGAATTTAAGCTGTATCAGCGATCGTTGTTCCAAACTTTATTTTTCATCGCTCATGTAGACGCTATGTTCATCGCCTCAGTGGTTCAACTCATCGCTCCTGAACAGGCCCTCTCCACATGCTGTCAGATAATAAACGTACAGAGGAGCTTCTTTGATATTTCAGCTGACGCCTCAAACACAGACTGAGTTTTAAGATCTTCAGGATTTCTTTGTATTTGTTTGTATTGCTGTCAATCAGAGAGCTGTGACTCAGACGCCTGCAGCGCTAACAGCAGCAGTGTCTCCTCTTTTTTTTTTTTGTGTCCCGTTTGGATCTTTAGCATCAGAATTGTTGTCTTAAGGCCAAGAAAGATGCCAAGCGGATTTATTTTACCAAGTGGATCATCATGGCCTTGCCTTATTGGTCCA